GGGGTGGGGAGGGGAGAAGCTTCTAGAGTACCAATGGGCAGCTGCTTTCAACTACTCCGACTCAGTTACTTGGTAGCAAACTAGTCTTGTCTGCTAGAAGCAAAGCATTGGCTATACGATCAGATTTCTAAAAAATGAACATTCAAATGGCGATTATAAATGGAAGATGAATACTTCTTGAAAAAGGGTTCCCTTCACACAATAACACTCGGAACTGGGCCCCATAACTCGAATTCAAAAATAGAACTGCGGTAGCCCATTTTCGATTTCAAAAAAGGAGTAACAAAAAGGATTTGAATGAGGAATTTGAAAAATTGTGTTACAGCCATTAAACTTTCATCATTTTGGAATCCAACCATTCTTTAGAGACGTCAGTTGAATGTAATGTAGGTTCCCAGTAATCCAGTCGCCGTTCAAGCTTCATCACATTAGTCAAAGGCCCCTAGCATATTTACAGAGTCAGGAAGCCTCATATTACTGTAATTTCGAATCAGAGCCAATGAGACTAGTCCTATCCCATTCTAATGGCCCGACAACAGGAAAGCATCTATGATGTGAAGAAGAGTCGATCCTACAAACTGAGCAAGAATGATGGACATCTATCCACTAACCTATGCACAATTCATATCAAAATCCATTAATTAGTTTAACTCAATCCCGCTTCCCACACCAAATTAATCAGTACAATATGAGGCCTTATATCCGATATGAAGAGAAAAAAAGAATCTATCAATGGGCATTAGAAATTCTGCTCCGGAATGAGCCAAGCCTATGGCTCCCCTTCAGAATTGTACTTGCATTTTGAAGGATATCTTGCCTTCTACAACTATTGCAGAGATCAATGAATGGAAAAATCTGAGTGTGGGGAGGAGGGGAGTGGGAAGTGGTTACTGCACCAATAAATGGAACCCTACAGGGTGGAGGCCCATTTGGCTTGGGCAGAATCCAATCTGGGAATTATGTTTGCTACCGCCGCCACTTACTTCTTACGGTCACTGCCATATTCTGATTGGGAGGGGAAAGAAATTTAATAGAATAAAAGAAATCTAAAAAAAAANAAAAAAAAACAACCGAGAGACGAAATGACCACTTACTTCTACGTTGACAATTTTTTCTTTCTTCTGATATTTCTCCACTACCAGTAAGCTTTGAAAACAAAAACATATAAGAGAAACCGCACTGAATATGATCCAAAAAATCCGTAATGAAGGTCGTGAAGTGTTGAGAATCTGAAATAATTACGACCAGTGTGCTTCCTCCAATAAGCAAATCGTTTAACAGAGAAAAAACAGGAAATTTCCTGGCACTATCAAATTCTAAGCTTTTTTTAGATATAACTACATCTTCAAAGCTACTTAAGAAAACAGAAAAAGCGGAATTCGTAAGATTCGAGATTTGTAGAGCTTATATTCATTCGGCCTTCTCCTTTCTATTTCGGAGATTCACGAAGTTCTGTTTGAGCCCTGAGGCAGTTAGGATTGGGAGAAAAGATTAAAAGGAGATAGAGCTCCTCAGAAATCGTATAAGGTCATCCGATAAAGGCATTAGCATTGACCTCACCATGTTTCCCTATAAGGTTTTCAACATTTTATCAAGAATTTGGTTATAAAACAACATATTTTCGAATATAACTCGACGTTTCGATGTTGACCAAATTTTCTGATCAAACTTCTAGTGTACTGATGAATTTCAACAGGATTAGCCTAAATGATCACATAATCAAGCGCGAAACGGCAATGAAACGGCGAAAGGACGTCATAAAACTAACACGCTCATTTGACGAAATTATTTTAGACTTCCTGTCTGGCAAAGTTAATAGCATCCGGTTTGTGTTTACAATTTCAACACCTCAACAAAAGTGTATGCTTCAAATCTTGAAAGGCTTAATGAATTGAAAAAATAGGTAAGAGCTTCAGCGTTTATAGTCGTCTAGGAGGAGCCACGCATTCAACTTCTAATAAAAATGGTAGTTGCAGCAAAAAAACCTTAATTATTCACCCATATTTATCATATATAAAGCTAAATGTATAGGGTGGAGGTGGTAAAATGGCAAGCGGCGCACTTCACACATGCATGATCACGGGTTCAAATCCCAGATCGAACCGCCTAAGCTGATAAAGCTCCATTCCTCCGAGGTCGGTTTTAGGTACGAGACTCGTATGGAAGGATAAAAGCACTGACTTGTACATCAGCTGGCCAACGTAATTCATTGTATAGGCCACATACGCACTCATTACACCACTACGATTCTGAATGGAAGTCGAGTGCGAGGCGCATCCCTCGGACGGGATTAATAAACGCCTGAAGGCTTTATCCTTGGCCTTTTCTGTACAATGTATGATGTATCACCAATTTTTCATGTCATATTTTATACTTTTTTTCTATTTAAATGTCTCTATTTGTGGTACGACCACCTTAGGTATCGCCGAATTACCATAGAGGAAGTTATGACGTTCATCAATCCCATTTCAAGATACTCCATGCACTCGGCACGCACTCAAAATCGCAAAGATGATTGGTATTCTCGCGGAGACCAGTCAAATAGGTGCAGGTTTAGTCTCTCGGGTGAAAGTGGTGTCAGTCAAGCTCCCTGATGGGAACCAGTCCCAGCAAGCTTTCGTGGGAAACCAGATAACCGATCTAAGGACCATGTTTATGTTAGCCACACCACATACCACCTTGACTACATTTCAGCATTGACATTGTACTTTCCAGTAGCGACAAACAAAACAAGCGTCTTCTATTATGATGAAAGCCAGATTTCAGACGAGATAACGAAATGACCCAGCCGGCTTTCAGTAGAAGAACGACCCACTCGTCCGAAACTTTCCTTTCACTCCCACATGAGAACGACACCAGATTATGTAGTAAGGACAAATCATAGAGCGCCTATTTCCTTTTGAATTTGCTACTTGTAAACAGGTGTTGGATAAATAATTTAGGGTTGTGGAAAGAGTTGTCCCATGACAAGCAATAGACTTTGCCCTCATTGAACAATTCCATTTATGGGCGAGTATATGGAGCTTAAAAACATTTGTTTTTCACCTGAACCTACCATAATCGTGGTGCAAGTAATGTCAACTTCAATTTGGGTAAGTGGAGCCCATAAAAGAGTGAGTTGTGTCAATTGTGTATTATTCAATTTACCTAGCAGTTCCTCGAACATGGGCAGTATCTGAAGGCTATCGAAATATTTGCTTTTTAGATACAGATCTTAAAAATGAGGACTATGCGCCATGCATTCGACATGTTTTTATAACCACAATGGCTATGATTCGTATTATGTGCAACAAGACGCAGTTCACAACTTTTTAAAGGCACAGTTTACGATAAATTTGAGGTATCTATCTTAGATGAAGTGATAATGGAATCCATGGTGCGCAATAGTGCGAGGGTGGCGAATAAAGCGATAAAATTGTTCGAATTGAAAAATATAAGCTTCCGAAAAAAGCAGCAAGAAGGTGGGTACGAGAGACCGTCTGGGTGTCTCTCGTCTAAGCGTACTATTCGTCTAGTCCTGGAAATAGTGCACTAATAACAAGGCCTGCATAACACGGCCAGTTTGAGCGTCTGCGTTGGTCAAAGCGGCTTTAGATCCCTATAACGCCCTGTCTGGGCCGTTTTTCGGGTTGACAACGGCCCATGTACTATTTTTGGAAGCCACCAATTCGTTCTGGCGGTAAATTGTAGAAGCCATTTTTATCGTGAACTGTGCCCTTGTCTTTTTTTCAAAAGAATTTATCTTGCAAGGCTAGTTTCAGCAGGAGTAAATCAACTCAGAGAGAATAGATGGCCGACCGAGCAAGAATTGTTTCGCAGTTTTTGTTGTGCTATTTGTTTCAACCGCATTTTTGGACGTGACGACGTTTTGGAAAGATTTATTCACCTAGAACTACTATTTATTTTATATTGAT